TAATATAAAAATAAGATGACCTAGAGATTGTCTAGGTCACTGAATGGGTAATGGCAACTAACAAACAAATTTTAGAGGTTCCTTACTTTGTGCCAAACCCTGTATTAGAGTCTTTATGTCTCTCATCACATGTAATCCTCCCAGTAACTTCAGGATTACCACACTCATTCCACAATTGAGGAAAACTAAGTTAATAGAAGGAAATAACCTAAAGAGTAAGTAACCTAAACAGCCCTCTCTGTCCATATTATCCAGTTCAAACCCAGACCAGAGTCCAAAATCCAGTCTTTTTTCTGGGTTACACAGTGTTCCTGATAGTCTTCTGTTAAAGTCCTCAAAATTTCTATCTCCCATCTCAAACTTCTCCCAACTTAAATATCCAACTGGTGACTTGCCATCTCCATTTAGTTTATAACCAAATGTAACAAAGTCAAAAAATAACTATGGGCTTCCCTCACTATAACCACATGTCCTCCTCCCTCCCAACCTCCTACCTCACCTCTGTAAATGGCATCATCCAGTTGCCCAGGCCAAAAACAGAATCTGTCTCCTTTCCACACCCCATCTCTAATTCATGCAAAGTTCAGCACTACCTCTAAAATATGCCCAGAAGCCAAGGGCATCCCCATGACTCAGGATTACTGCCTAAATTAAGGGACTACACTCTCCTCCTAGGAAAATAGCAACAGCAGACTTTCAGGGCCCAAAGTCCATCAGGAAGGATTTCTGTTTATTACTAAAGACTAGAACACTGCTTACACATGGAAGGCAGTTAAAAAAACTTTGAAGATCTTTGACCTCTCTACCTCTGTTGGAAGCTCAGAGTAGTAAAACTGGAATTGGAAGGTCTCACAAAGAAACAGAGGTCAGGGTAGGGCTAACAAGTTGTTAAGCAGCTATGGAAGTTTCCAGGAATCTGAGGTCTGATCAGGATTATTTGGTACAGAAAATCAACTCAACCTGACCCCAAAGAGAGAAAATTCCACAAAGGAATGAATTCTTCTCCCTCCCACCAACCCCCAAAGAACACTATAAAAGAACACCCCTTGCCTCTGGCAAAAATGCAGATCTTTTAAGACTACCCTCCTGCATCTCTGAGGGTTTCTTTCTTTAACCTGCTCCTTGCAAAAGCAGTTCTTTAACTGCCTGTGTCTATGCAGGCATTTCTTTTTCCTAATAAACCTTGAAAATACAGCTGTGGCCTGTTTGTGTCTATGCAAATATCTTTTTCCTCAATAAACCGGTGTAGCTGAAGGGAAACTGCCGAAATCTTGTTCAGAGGAACCCAAAGGCACCATGCACCCACACCCATCATCAGAACCCCAGCATCTCCATGGTAATCTCTGATACAGTCCAGTATGCATAGTATCCAAAGTGATTTTGTTAACATTTATTTTATTTATTCATGCATACAAGAACTGGGGTATAGGCCAGAGCTGGGGTGGAGGGGGGTGTGTGAGAGGATTCACCAGAGACAGAGTGGGGAACAGAAGAGGCAGATCTACTGAAATACATTGCTGAGAGGTGCAGCGGGTGAGAAAGGAGAGGTCTGCTGCGCCAGGTGGGTTAGCTCCCAGCCAGGGATCAAACTCAAGCAGTAGTGGCTGGAGATAGCTTAATAGTGCTAACCCCTGTGCCACCAGGGAGGTCCCCAAAGTGATTTTTTTTTTTTAGATTTATTTATACAAGCACTGGGTACAGTCAAAAGCGCAGGAGGGTGAGAGAATCCACCAGAGCCAGAGTGGGGAGCAGAACAGGCAGAAGGACCAAAGTACACTGCTGAGGGGAGCAGTGGGCGCAGCAGCAGGAGAGGTCTGTGCACCATGTGGGACCCTGGCCACCAGGCCAGAGATCGAACCGGTGCTGCAGAGGCTGCGGGCAGCTTCGCAGCCCAGCGCTCAACCGCTGCGCCACCAGGGGAGGCCCCCCAAAGTGATTTTTTTAATGAGTGTTTTATATGTTCTTCATATATTTTGAATATTAGCCCTTTATCACGTACATGACCTACAAATATTTTCTTCTATTTAGTAGACTGCCTTTTCATTTTGTTGATGGTTTTCCTTACAGAAGCCTCTTAGTTTGACATAATCCCACTTGTTTAGTTTTGCTTTTGCTGCCTTTGTTTTTGATATCAAATAAAAAAAAATTGCTAGGACTGATATCAAGGAGCTTACCCACTCATGTTTTCTTCTAGAAATTCTATGTTTTCAAGTCTTATGTTCTATTCTTTAATTCATCTTGACTTAATTTTTGTGTATGATGTGGGACAGGCATCCAGTTTTGTTCTTTTGCATCTGACTGTCCACCTTTTCCAACAGCAATTATCCTTTGTCCCTGTATATTCTCAGTTCAGTTTTTGTCTTTTTTTTAAGTGATCTTCCAAATGCAAATCAAACCACAGCTCTGCCCTTCTCAAAAACTTCCAATAAAGTTTCTTGGGTGGTCACAGTTAAGCAGAATACTCTTAGATATCATAAGTACCATCCCCACAGCCAAGAATGTCTACTTCTTTTAGTGGAGGAGTATTTGCCAAATGTCACTACTTTCCTTTGAGCAAATCCTAGATATCCTCCATCTAACAAAGATTGGAGGGAAAAAATAAATAAAACCTTTCAAAAGCCTGTCACTGAAACCACAATAAAATCCAAACTTCAATGATGGCCACATCTGTCCCTGTCTGCCTCTCTGATCTCACTCATCTATGACAGTCTAGCTATTACGCACTCCCCTCTGTTCCCCGAACACCCTGGAGGGCTCCTTACCATGAACCTTACTTGGGTGCCTCTCTTCAATAACTAGTCTCAATTCCAGCAGCATCTCCTTAGACAGTTTTCTCCAACAACACTACCCAGTGTTACAGTACCAGTCCCTATTGTTTTGGTTTACATGCTTATGAAATGCCTCCACTCCCCCAAAATGGACCTAAAACTAAGGGCAAAGAGGCGGTCCGTCTGGTTCATTGTTAAATCTCCAGCTCCACAGACATAAGAAATAAAAATATATTTAATCTTCATTGCCCGTATGGAAGATGGGAGGTGGGGGTGAGGGGATGTGATTAAGCCTTTACCCTAGAGTACCCTGTAGAATACTAATTCCTGGTAGTGTCAGAATTGATGGAATTGTTTGACATGCTGGTGTCGAGAGTTCGGGAATTGGTTAGCTGATGGAGAAAAAAATACATGACATACATTCAGTGTCAGAAATGTTGTGAGCAAAAACAGATCATACATAAGTGCTCAGAAAAACAAGACTTAGATTTTAGATAGCTTCTGACAGTGTTGTATTTTTTTAATGTAAACTTATTAGCCCCAACCATATGAAATCATAGTCATCACTATCTCACTCAGTTGAGATCTACCACAGTGATAACTCAAACAGTCCTGAGAAAGCAGAAGTCAACTTTCCTGTGACGAATGGCCAGAATTTGGTTCTTTCCAAAGTCATGAGGGGGATTCTAAAAACCAGTCATTAAATCTAGTCAAAATATCAACCATACCGGTAACTTTTTGAAAAGAACATATAAGTATTAGTAATTTTCTAAGCCCTAAGTTCATTGCTTGGAGTCACAGAAAGCTTCACAAGGCTTTCATAGGAATAGAGGAGGACAGATGCCCCCTAAATAGCTATACTGTAATTACTGAATAATAAAAATTACTGAATAATTGCATCAAATCGGAAAGTATCTAAAACAATATAAGATTTGCAAAGCTTTCTTGAGATTTTGAAGATTTGGAAAACAGTCTCTTCCACTTCTCAGGGTATCAGATGGGCCAGGAAGGTGGTAAGTATCTTCTCTCTGTCCTTATCTAATCCAGGGCAAGTTCTTACATCTCAAGAGAAAAACCTCAAGTTCCTCATCTCTGAAAAGGTCAGTCTGAATGCATGCCACTTACTGCATTAGACCTCAAAAATCAAGTGATGACTCCACTAAGTCTTTAGAAAGAGGATGGTTTATCTGCCAGTACAAAGCGCTCCTTACAGAAACTCAGTTTAACCCCTGCTTCTCTTAACGACTGGCCTCCTTTGTCCTAAGCTGAATCTATGAGCACACCTGTACCTGAACACCCCCCAGGATTAGATCTATTTGTGAAAACACACCATTAAATGTGGACAGACGTGCTGATTATCACTGTGGATAGGAAGGAGGAAGCTTCACCTGAGAAGGCTTTACCTGCTTCGGTTTTTTTTTTTTTTTTTCCAAACTCTGTAGGAAGGACTGAAATTAGCAAAAAAGGGTCACAAACTAATTTTCACTACTAATCGGGAGAAGACGCCTATCCCAAATGGTCATATATGTTTTAAGACCTCATGAGTTTAACAAGAGAGTTACAAAACAGGTCCGGGCAAGTTCAATAGAAAAGAGGGGCGGGAAGACTCGGCTCTCCCCAGGTAGCCGAGTTTGTCTAGCCAGGGCTGGGTCGGGCAACAGGGAGGGCTGGGTTTGCCCTCTTCCCAGACCTGAGTGCGGTAGTTTGGAAACCAGATTTCGAGACGTTATTGAAGATATCGAGCCATTTCGAGATGCCAAGCGCAAGCTGGTTCCTGTGACCCGGGTTTAGTAAAGCAGACCAGACGAAACCGAACCCAAATCTTCTCCTGGGCTCACTGGGTAGACAGAACCGGGTGGCTATGCAGCTCCGCACCACACTCATTCCCTGGAAAGGGGAGCGGGGGCGCCAGACTCCAGAAGCAACTAGGGATCCTCACCCACCTGCCCCCCCATCCCCGACCTGCCTTCCAAGCCCTCCCTGAAGTCCGCGAGGCCGGACGCCTAGACCTCTGCGCCGCCTCGGGGACTCCCCGCGTCTCCTCTCTCCCACCCATATCACAGGGTTACCCGGCGGCTCCGCGCCGCGCTCCGGGCTGGGCACTCATCCAGGCGGCACGGGGTCAACCCTAGACGATTCACCGCCTCACCTGCCCACTTTCGGTCGCAGCGCAGGGGCGCACAGCCAGCTCGCCCGACACGCGCCACCAGCGTGGCGACCTCCCTGGCTTACCTGGCCCGCACAACACTGCGCTGACATCGCGGCGGCCGACGCCCAGGGGTGCGCTCGCCGCTCCCCTCAGGCCTCCTGGCTCTGTCCGCCTCGAGCTCTCCAATCTGCACCAGCTCAGCCCTACACCAAGCAGCCCCAGCTGAGCGCCAGGCTCCACCGCCTGGATAAAAACAGTCTCCCCGCGCCCGCCCCAAGCCCCGCCCCCAAGCCCCGCCCCGCCCGCCACGCAGGCCCCGCCCACCCGGGGCCTCGGCCCCGCCCCTTCCCTGTGCGCGGCTGAGGGCAGGCTCGCCAGGAGCTCGCACTTCCGCTGGCGTCAGGCGGCGGGGATGGGCCGTCGCTTTCCGGCTCGACGCTGGGCGCCCAAGCCCGCCCACCCACCGTGTGGTGCCGGGCGCTTCCTCGCCGAGGAGGGCGCCCCTGGGCGCTGCTCTGAGCTCCGGGCCCTACTGGGATAGCCACAGGATCCCTGTTCCTGAAATGCTGTCAGCTCCCTCATCTGCCAAGAGAACGTCTCCACTTTAGGGAAAGTCTCCGCTGCCCAAGTTTCCTCGAATCCGAGCACTTGGCCGTTCGGTCTGACGCTCCCACTGCTCTCCGGGGCGTCCTGTGAGAGCACTCCCCAGCTTCCAGGTTACTGAGCTGTAATATTGTCCAGCCCCTCTCGCCTCCCCTCCTGGGAGAGCATCCCGACCCAGCGACTCAGTTCGTGTCCCTGCAGCAGCCTCTCACCTGGCTTCACTGAAAAGAGGCACCCCAATAATTTTTTGTACCTTGCGGGAGTTAAAGAGAGCACCTTTAGTTTTTCTCCCTATGCAAACCTATTCTTCTCACAGCCACTTCTCCAGGAAGAGTAAAGGGATTTTCGTTAGTGTGAACCTCGCCAAACTCTTTTATTCTTTTTTTTTTTTAATTTACCCGTCCATGCACACAAGAGCTGAGGGGTGAGAGGATTCACCAGAGACAGAGTGGGGGAGCAGAACAGGCGGATCCACTGAAATGCACTGCTGAGGGGAGCAGCGGACCAGTTAGGAGAGGTCTGCCGTGCCATGTGGGTATCTCCCTGGCTTGGGATGGAACTTGTGCAGCAGAGGCTATGGCTAGTCTCACAAGTTCTGTCCTAACTGGTTGCACCACCAGGGAGGCCCCAAACTCTTTTATTCTTTAACCATTACTGTTTCCATTCCATAAATCAGACAATCCAGACAAGTCTTTAAAAATTACTTAAAGCTGGGCCTCCCCTGGTGGTGCAGCGGTTGGCACTGGGCTGCTAGGCTGCCCGCAGCCTGTGCAGTACTGGTTCGATCCCCGGCCACCAGCGAGGGTTCCACATGGCACGCAGACCTTTCCTGCCCCCGCTGCTCCCCTCAGCAGTGTACTTAGGTCCTTCTGCCTGTTCTGCTCCCCGCTCTGGCTCTGGTGGATTCTCTCACCCTCCCGAGCTTCTGACTGTACCCAGTACTTGTATAAATAAATAAGTCTTAAAAAAAAAAATTACTTAAAGCTTAAGAGGTAAAGAAAGGACTGACTCCCTGTTTCTGGTCCTTTTGCACAGGACACAAATTTTTATCTTAACTGGACTAACTCCAGACAACCTTTGACAAGAGAATATCGTTAAGACAGTTTGACAACGAGATTAAGAGGAAAGTTGTGTGGGAACCAGTCCTTTAGGTAATGATTGGCACAGGATCTACTAAAGTCTCAGATGCCATGATTAGAGGACGAAAAATAAGGCCCTATTCAGTGCCATGGAAAATGAGAATTGACTCAAAGACTTAAAAATACTAATTTTTTAAAAACAGCATAAAATAGTATGACATCAGCACAGCAACCTGGTCCTTGGTTACGAAGCAGACCAAGTTCTCACAGGGACTTTAGTGAGCTTCATTGTTGGCTGCTGCAGTCACTTTGGCCTCACTTCTCACCTGCCTAGCCTAGATAGGCTTCTTGTCTTTCTGCCAGGCTAGGAAGAGCCAGGCAGCTTCCTGGAAAGGAAAGTGTGAAATCTATATAAATTAGAGCTGCTGGAACTCAAGGCCTCCTCCCTTTAGGGAAGCAGGGGATCAGAAAGAGGGTGAACTCTCACCAAGGACATCTGGGTTAGAGGCAGAGCAGTAATAGTATCTAGGCATCTTGACCCTGAGTCCCATGTTCTTTTACCAAGTTGCTGCCATTGTGGGAAGATTCTATGACTTTATTATTACTGTGTGGAAAGCTTTACCTCCACACACAAAACTGAAACACTTAACATTTCACTGTATACCTGTTCTTCCAGTTATTGTCCTTTTTTAAGTGAAATCTTTTTTTAGGAGCTGCTGCTGGTTAAAGGTCAAGCCCAAGAACCAGCCAAAATCAGCTTGGGGCTTCCCTGGTGGCCAAAATCAGCTTGAATCTGCACCCCATTTGAGAAATGCAAGCATGTAACAAAAAAAAAAAAAAAAAAAACACCTGCGGAGTTCAATCCTGAGGGAAACCTGCTGCCTTGTTTGCTTTCAGAGTAACCCTTGAGTTTAGACAGGTATCAGACAGATCAGACATATCTCTGCAGCTTGCCAGGCAATAAAGTGTTTGCTCTGCTTTACCAATCCTGGTTATTTTATTAAATGACTTGCAGTCAGCAGAGGTGGAACATCTTAGAGTGGGTAATGCAACTTCATAGAGAGACAGAGGGAAAAAAAATGTCAACCTGGAGATTTGTAGAGTGGGTATAGTGGAAACCCACACTTCCAGAACCAGGAAGTTGCAACTTTTAATTCTACCAAGAACTTTCTGGGCAACCTCTGAGTCTCAAGTTTAGCTTCTGTAAAACAGAACTAATAGCACATTCTCCAAGGATTGGAATGAAACCGTGGGGTACAGGGTCTGCCTTCATAAGCAGCGACTAAATAATTGCCCTGACTGGTATTGATAAACAAGTTAAAAAGTTGTCAGCTAATCTGTGCAGGTTTACTTCCCCTCCATACTGGGAGATCTCAAAGGAATGTGGGCAGGCCAAGAGGTTTCTCATTTATTGGTCTGAGGGCTGTTGCAGTTACTATTTTTGGGCTGGTTGGTAGTGTCCTTTGTATCTTTGGATGGCTAACAATAACATTGGTGATGTTAGTAGATATAAAACAGTGGCACCTTACTTTTATTTTAAGTGCTCTGCAGACTTTTTTAAGGAAGACACTTATACATGGTGTTCCTAACTGGTAGGGAGTTTTAGAGGCCTTCTCCTTTCATGTGGATTTTTCAGGAACAAGAAGTAATAGACCTGTTTTAATAAGACTGTAATTCTTGGTATGTCATGTGAAATACTTCCCGCACCAAAAAAAAATTCTTACATGAAATGGATTAGCTCCTTTATACAATATAATTACAGATGTATATACATGACATTATAAATAAACAGTTTATAATTTGCTTTTTTTCCTCCTGAATTTGAATGTTTTTTTTTCAGTTTTTCCTTTTTTTAGGAAAAGGTGGTGAATGTTGAATTTAGAAACACCACACACTATAATTGAAATCGGCCATGGTATATATATATTATTAAAGAAAAAAAGCATATTCTCAGACACCTACTATTTAACATTTAGTAAGTTTAGAGACCATCATTACCAATTTAATTTCCAGTCCAAGAATGGCTTAAGAGCTAGCAAAGTTATTTTAATTCCCTAAAAATTTCTTAACTTTGTAAAAAACCTAGCAACATCTTCTGGCTTTTGTTTATTTGTTTGTTTTAAGATTTATTTATTTATGCATGAAGAACTGGGGTATAAGCCAGAAGTGTGGGGATGGGGGTGGTGAGAGGATTCACCAGAGAGGGTGGGGAGCAGAACAGATAGACTTACTGAAATACACTGCTGAGGGGAGCAACGCGTGAGACAGGAGAGGTCTGCTGCACTATGTGGGTTGCTCCCTGACTGGGGTCGAACTTGTGTTGCAGTGGCTAGTGATGGCTTGATAGCACCATGTCTTTAACCCCTGCACCACCAGGGAGGCTCCATCTATTAATGTTTTTTAAATATCAAAATATTACAAGGCATAAAATTAAAATTAACATCTCCCTTCCCCACATTTTACCCCTCAATCTCCTCCCAGAAACAATAACTTTCAATTATTTTAACAGCTTTTCCCTTTACCTCCATATTTTCAAATAGTATTCTTACGTTGTTTTTTTCCTGATCTGTTGTGTGTTATCTTTTATATTCCACGTGGGCTCATATCAAAGCCACTGAGCATTTTCTTTTTTAAAAAAAAAAGATTTATTTATTTATGCATACAAGAGCTGGAGTACAGGCAGAGATACAGGGGGTGAGAGGATTCACTAGAGACAGAGTGGGGAACAGAACAGGCAGATTGACTGAAATACACTGCTGAGGGGAGCAGCGAGCAAAACAGGAGAGGTCTGCTGCGCCATGTAGGTCACCTCCCTGGCCAGGATAGAATTTGCTCTATAGTATTTGCGGATTGCTTCATAGTGCTGACATTTAACCACTTGGGCCACCAGGGAGGCCTGAAGGCTGAGATTTTGAAGAAGTAACTTAATTTCCTCCTCTATGAAATGATGAGTATTGATTAAATGTACATATATTAAAGTATAGTCAGATCCTCCACCCACCACCATTTTGTAACAAAAATTTTCCTAGACTGAAAATTAGGACTAAACAGAATTAAATTCTAACCATTCTTTGTTCTCCGTCAATCTGGCCCCTCCTTGTGATTAACCTTTAACTCCCTAACAAAAATTCTCTGTGCTCCTTAGACATTGATAGTAACAACCAAAACAAACATCTGCTCCACTTCCTTCACATCCTGCACCTCTCACTTTCTTCGCACCTCTTATATAATCACAGCACTCCAACCATTCAGGGAGCCAGCTCTTAGGTTCCAATCCCTGTGACTCTCTCTTCTTTCTTGGTTTGCTTTTGTTTTGGTGGAACAGTGCATGAGTAGATCCAGATTCTAGAACCACTAGAATCTCTACATTGACTTTCCTTGAAAACCAAGGTGGTGAGGCCTCCCTGGTGATGCAAGGGGTTAAGCAGGGCACTGTGAAGCTGTCTGTGGCCTCTGCAGCCAGCTAGGGAGCTACCCACTTGATCCAGCAGACCTCTCCTATCTTGCCCGCTGCTCCCTTCAGCAGTGTGTTTTAGTGGGTCTGCCTGTT